TTTGATACAAACTATGAACTCACAATCCAAAAAGCTAGAAAAGCCCCGAGCAGGACAGACAGACAGTCACGCACGCGTGCACACACACACACACCAAGCCTTATAATAAAATCGTGAAAAATCAGTGATAGGACAATCTTCCAAGCAGCCAGGAGGAAAAGATGCACTGTGCTCAGAGGAACAAAGAATAACTATAATGTTCTTATCAGAAACTGTGCAAGCCAGAGGACAATGGAATGATAAAAGCCACCTCCTTAGAAAGACCTTGCCTGGTGTCCTACCTAGAGCCCTAACCCTCCCCTCTATCCACTGTGTCACTGTGCATTCTTACCTGGCTCTAACTGTTAGTTGCCTGTGGACTCTCTACCCTCTAAAATATAAGCCCCAAGACAGCAGCAGCTTTACCTTGTACATGGCTTTAACCCAGTGCCTAGAACAGTGCCTGGTATTTAATGGTGTTCAGTAAATACTTGATAGATAAAGACATAACCCCATCCAGGCAGAGGAGTGGAGAGGCAGAGAGTGGTAGGTAAAGCATCCTGGAACCACTAGCAGTCAGCACGGGTCAGAGCCCAAGGTGTGCAGCAGTGAGGGGAAGAGATAAAGCTGGAGAGTGACAGATTCCAGGTCCTGGAGGACACTGTAGGACGTGCCGTGCAACTTGAGCTTCATTCTGTGGGCAGAGATTTTAGGCAGAGGATTATTAATATTCTATTTGTGTTCTAGAAAAATTACTGTGGCATCGCCTTGTGCCAGATGATTTCAAGTGGGGAGTCCGAGAGCAGGGAAAAGGTGAGAGGTGGCACAGACCCGACAGAGTCTGAGCAGTGGCAATGCCCACATCTAGAAAGCTCTTAGGAGGAAGAGCTTACAGGAGTTGGGGACCAGCTGGTTGTAAGGGATGAAGAGAGAAGTTTGGATTTGTTGGACTGAGATGTTTGAGATGTGGATAAGGAATACAGGAAGCAAAGCTGATTTTGGAGAAAGAAGATAGTATATTAGTCACCTATTGCTGTATAACAAATTTGCAGCTTAAAACAGCAAACATCCACTATCCCACGGTTTCTGTGGATCAAGGATCTAGATATATATAGCTAATTGCCTCTGGCTCAAAGTCCCCCATGGGGCTGCAATCCTCAGGCTGGCCAGAGCTGCCACCATCCCAAAGTTGCTTGGGGATCCTCCTCCAAGCTCACTCACAGGGCAGTTAGCAGGCCTCAGGTCCTCAGGTTGGCCAGAGAAATCAGTTCCTTGTCGTCTGGGCTACTTCATAGGGCACCTTGTCACACAGCAGGTGACTTTCCTCAGAGTGAAAGAAAGCATCCCAAGATGGAAGCCACAGTTCTTTTATAACCTAATATTAGAAGCAACATCCCATCCTGCCTGCCCTGTTCTGTTTGTTAGAATGAGGTCACTAGATGCAGCCCACACTCAAGTGGGTGGAGGAACTGCACGAAGACACAAATACTAGGAGATATGGGACTCACTGGGACCACGATAGAGACTGCTGACTGCAGGTAGTGAGTTTGGATATGTCAAATTTGAGGAGTCTGGGAACTTCCAGCTGATTGGATAGCTCTGGGCCTCAGGAGAGAATTCTTTCTTATTGGACTGTGGCTTGGAGCCTATGCATAAATTTACAATTAACTGCTCAGGGCCCCTTTCCAACTTGATTCGAAGCTCCTAGAGGTCAGTCAAGAAGGACAGCTATTTTTAAATCCCCCAGGAAACCCCTCTGGTAAAAGGTGCTCAACACATAATCGCTGGAGGAATTTCTCAGGTTAGTAGAATTTCACATGGTTAAAAAGTTGTCTCTCAGGGTCCCAGTAACCCCAGTGACTTGGGAAGCTGAAACCAGAGGATCCCAATTTCTAGCCCAGCCTCAGCAATTAAGTGAGACCTTGTCTCAAACTAAAAACATAAAATAAAAAGGGCTGAGAATGTAGGTCAGTGGTAAAATACCTCTGGGTTCAATCCCCAGTACCAAAAAAAAAAAAAAAAAATTATTTCTCTATTTGATAATTCCTGCTCTGCCACCGTTAAAGAGACTTAGAGAGATGTCTTTCCCTTTCCTAAACTGCAGGTGACTACATTAGTGGTTTCTCAAAAATGAAATTTGAAAGTATCCCCCTGGGAATCCTCGTATAGAAAAATAGATAACCGTTGATCCTCCCTGCTTTCCCAGAAGAGAATCCCATTTTGAAAAAAAAAAAAAAAAAACCGGACCAAGTGAATTCCCAATTTTTTTTTTCCCAGCAGAGACTTTCTGGGATTATATGATAAGATCAAATATAAGCCCAGTTCTGTGATTCAGCTTACTGTCATCCATACCTATCCATGCCTAGATATTTTGTTGATCTTTTGAAAGGAAAATAATTCATATTTCCTTGAACTTGTGAAAAATATAATAAAGCTGTCCCTCATTAAACACATACTAGGTGTCAAGCACTGTGTAAAATGCTTTCCATTGCATCATTTTTATTTGATCCTGTCTTCCCTACTAGAGTGTAAACTCCAAGAGGCCAGGCACTTCTCCTAGTTCACTGTGATATTTCCAGCAGCTAGGAACACAGGAAGCTTTCTTGGGACATAGAAAGCATTTGGTAAATACTTGTCAAATGAACTAATGAAGATTAGTGAGTGCTATTCATATTCCTATTTTACAGATGAGGAAACTAAGGCTTATGGCTAACAACTATCTTGCCTGTAGTCACACAAGTTAAAGGCAGATCCAGAATATGGACAGCTCCTTATGATTTCAAAGGACAATAATTCCATTTCTTGGTGAAATTGGTAGGAAACTGGAAAGGGACTTAACATATATTGAGTACCTTCTGGATAATGAGCATAGGCCTAGATGTTACTTTTCACCTCTGTTACCAATGACTCTGGGAGCTGTTTTTCAGATGAGATTGCTGAGGTTCAGAGAGACTAGCTATTAGTGTAAGAGACAGAGATGATGTGAGCCTGGGTCTTTCTAACTCCAAAGCATTCCTATACAAGACAAAACACATTAAAATATATACATCAAACTTCATGTTCTGGAAAATATAATGTCGGTGGTTACAGGCTAATATGGCAGACAAGGTACCACCACATCCTTCTCCAGCTCCCAGCATTTTCATGATTTGCATTTATGGATCCATTGGGGGATGGAGCTACAAAGAGTCCTCCAGGCTGAGAAAGCTCAGGCCCAGACTTCTAAGATGTAGCCCAAAGTAAGAGCTGATGACTGAAGATGATAAATGTTGGCACCACAGCCTGCTGCTCTCTGTGGCCTCATCACCGCTGCACGTCTCAGACCAGATCTGAAGTTGGACTGATGATGTCACCAGGGTCCCTTAAAGGCCTCATCACTCATACCCACTTGTCATATATTATTAAGCGGATCTATAATACATGGAACATTTTCTACTGAATTTCCATTCCTTCCTTTTCATGACCAGGGAAAGAAAAATAGAGCGAGGATGACTTTTCCCAACTTCTCATCCTTATTGCCCTTCATTGTAACATAATTTCATCTTGAATCATTCCCCGAAATGGTCATCCAGGCTTGGATTTCATTAATATAGATGAAGCTGCAGTTTAATAATTATCATTTAACTAATGCATATTCTATATAGACAAGTAAATGGATTCCCCTCATCTTTTCTTCTGGAGTCCACAGAGGAGGGGAGTCTACATCTGTATCGTTTTCTTTTTCCTCTTTTATTCTCCACCTTATTTTTTAGGACTTTGGGGTTGTATAATTATGTTTAGAAACTTTCTACATGATCACTTCTCTAGAGATAATAAGAGTCCTTCTGAGAATCTGAAGTCCTCGTCGTGCGAGTCAGATTCTCATTAGGAGCAGCAATCTCAAAAATGAGGACTTATCCAGGTGAAGGGCTGTTTAAGGCAGAGAGATGAGGATGCACGTGGTGGCTGAGCCCCACCTACAGTAGGGCTCCTAAGGAATTAAAAGAAACCAGAGTGGCCGGTGGAAGATCTCTCCAAGGCAGGCAGGTGCTGAAGTCAAGGACAGGCATGCAACAAACGGGCTGCTCGGGGTCTGGGGTGCAGGGGCCACTTCAAGGGCTGGTGGTCTGTGGAGCTACCACACAGTGCCCCACATTCAGAAATGGCTTCAGTCCTGACTTTAGGCTGCTGTCCTCATCATGAAATTGTTAAGACTTTTCCAGCAAGGGGTGCATGTTTTTATACTGTAACTGGGTGGCAAATATTGTGTAATCAGTCTGCTTAGGCTGGAAAGCCAAGGCTATCCCTTACTAGGTAGGCAGGGTTGGGGGTACCCAGGGTCTTTCCTGAGGTTCAGTTTCTGCTTCTGTAAATTGGGGAGTACAGTCCCTCCTTCAAAGACGTCATCATGAAGATTCAATGAGATGACGGATGAGGCCTTGGTGCACTGCATAGTCACTGGTACCTAATCCACAGCCCCTTCCTTAACTATCAGGACACATCTGGATCACCTGAGGGGTTGATTGGACCCCCCTGAGCGAGTCTGATTCAGCAGGTGGGGGTGGGGAGTGTGCTGGATTTGAAAGGGTTCCTTGTGCGACAGTGATGTGTACTCTAGGTTAAGAAAGGCAGCCTGAGGTTTTCGGAGATCTAGCTAGGAAGCGACTTAATCAAGGAGGGCAGAAGAAAAGGCAGAGGGAGAAATTGATGGACTACCACTAATCCTTAACATAATAAAAACCCTGTTAAAGAGGACAGAGGTCATCGCTTTACAGCGCTCTGGACGACACAGATAGTGCTGAAATGCACGATGGGAACGCATCCCATTACCAAGGTTTCTATAAAATTTTCTGCTATCCATTTGGTCTGACAAGCACACCCAGAGGAGCAGGGACCGTGGACAAGAGCAGCCAGGGTCAAGGCCAAAGTTGGGGACCACGTTTGAATTTATTTTCCCCTCAATGACTCGAAGACCGTACTCAGTTCCTGCAAAGAAACTGGGGCTGGAGGGAGTGATTCTGAATCATGTTTATTCTGCCCAGATCTTAGGCTTTGACATTCTTCTGATGAAAAATCTGAAGCCCATCCTACTTGAAGTAAATGCAAATCCCAGCATGAGGATTGAACATGAGTGTGAAGTAAGTACTCTGAGCATCTCCTTGACTATATTGTGGTAAAACCAAGGGTTCTAACTCTCAAGGTGTCCACTTGGCTACAGAAGACTCAGCTCTCTCGAATTTTCACAGCAAAGTTCTATTCGAGTGAAATCATTTTTGTTCTGTTGAGCTCTGAACAGAGTCTATTAATATAAGACCTTTCCGACCTATGGTAATTTCCCAGCATGCCATTCTTCCCATTTTTAAGGTCTGGAAACTTAGAAGCAGCTGAGCCTTTCCATCAGTTTTGACATGAACTAATTAGTTAGCCTCAGGAGATGAACTAATTGAAATTCTATGAATATGATTTAGCCATGTCGACATGCTCAAATCACTAAGATAAATAGTACATTTAACAGTCGTTATATTTTTCTCCGCCCTCCCAAAAAATGCATTAAAAAAACCGGAAGGAAATACTCCCAATATTAGTATTGGATCTTGGGGGAATTATCTGGATTCCTTTAATTTTCTTAACCCTTTTCTCTATTTTCAGCTTTTCCACAGTGAGGATGTATCATTTTGAACATCCGAAAAGCACAGTGCTCTTTCTTCTCTTGGTGTGTTATGTTAATATACAAAACGGCATTGACATTCCTAAGGTAGTATAAAGGGAGCACTTTAAAAATTCTCTTCTATAGATTAGCACAAGCAAAACAGTACAACCCCACGGGCTAGCTGGAGGATGGCATACTGATAGCCGCTTGGCATTGAATCACGGTCCCACTGTAATGCGGAATCCTTACCCATTCAAGCTTTCTCCAGGGGTGTTCGAAAATGTCCCCAGCCTTGTGGATGAGGAGGTGAAAGTGGCTGTGATCAGAGACACGCTGCGCCTCATGGACCCACTTAAGAAGAAGAAAGAGAACCGGTAAGTATTTTCTGTCATTCGTTTCTGTCAACTCTGCTTCCTAACTGTTTTGTGTCCTAAGCAGGTGAGTTAAAGGAACCTGTTAACACATGAGATTTGCATAATAAACAATGGAATAAATCACCTTTTCATTTTATAAACATAATCCTCCAAGCAACCAGTGACTCAAAGTCAGGACTAATCTGACAATTGGGGTTCAGAATGAATTTCTAACTCTTATCTAAATCCGCAAAGCTCTCACTTTCCCTCCGTGATAGGGGCGTGCACACCACTGTTCCTGGGGTGCTTTTCTTTGAAATCCTCAAGCACAGAAAAGGTGGAATAAAAATGCAGAAGAGGCCACAAATAACTGGATGTAGTTAGTTACTGCCTTTTGATTTTCTTCACAGTATTGACGTTCTTGCCTGTAAGCTGCTTTAGTTTCAAAATTTGCCAAAAATGATGTGATGAACTTCTGACGCTTGTGTGGTACTTACTGGTTACAAGCCTCCATCCTCATCCACCCAGTGGGACGTTATGTGGGGACACTGTCTCCCCGCCCCCCCACCTGCCTTGGAAATGAATGACATTTCACTTGGGTATTTTGTTCATTCTGTTTTTGCCAAATTCCAGGTTGTCACAAGGTAGTTAAGTAAATATCATTATTCATGTTTTGGGCAGAAAAGAACAAAGCCAGGCATTTCACAGAGCACATCCCATACCCCTGATATATCAGATCAACCCAAATGCTCCCAGACACAGAAACCATTCTCAGCTGTGCTTCAGGACCCGGGGGATCCCGGCTTCCCCAGGCAAGGGCTCTTTTGCAGGTTCCTCTACTGAGGAAACTCCAACTGGGCTCAAGCCCAAATATCGTCAGGGCCACCCTACAGCGGTGCTTCTCTCGGCTGCACATTGGAACCATCTGGGGAGCTTTCAAAATGCCAGTGTGGAGACACCCCCCCCCATTTACAGAAGCTGGCCTGGGCTGGGGGCGGGTCACATATTTTTCTGTTCCCTAGATGATCCTACTGCGCAGCCGCGGGTGAGCAGCACTGCGCCTACAGGACATGGGCTCTGCAGGGTTCGCCCTGTTCTCGGTGCCTGTTCAGCTAAGGTCTTCCCAAGTGAGTTCTTCACTGAGTGAAGCACGGGTGACCCTCGCTGAAAAGGTTCCACGTGTGGTTAGTGTGGGCCAGTCCTGCCAGGTGTGGCTTCAAAGCAGTGGTGTGTCAGGGCTGCACAATCCTCTGAGCTACTCAGACCTGAGGGCAGTGGAACAATGTGCCACCTGTATGTACATGCCATCCCCTGGGGGAAGCAATGGTCGGTTGCAATTTGGTTAGATAGTTATAAAGCTCATCTCTCAAAAAAGTATTGATCTTGGAGAGATTTGGGTGGCTTTCTATGCCAGTATAGCACGGTGGTGTGGTTTATTTTTTAGGATGACCTTGATACATTCTCATTCTGATTCTTTGGGTGGGAATGAGAAGTTCAAAAACCAGATGTGGCCTGAGCCTTCTTAACCGCTGCCACCAAACATGAAGAGATGGGAGGTTTCCACTGTATTCCGCAATTAATGGTATTTAAACGAAATTAGCGTTCTTTTTCTCTTTTTGGTTGTATTCCTTTACCTACACCTGTATAATCTGTATGAGCAGCAGGTCTGCAGTGTAATAGCAGTGGGACACAGGACCATTGATTGGGAGGGATGAAAAAGGCATTTTACAATTTATCAAGTTATAAGTAGCAGCATCTCATTTTTAATTTAAAATGCATTGACTTTTTTATTGATAAGTAGGAACAGTTAGAACTTTAAGAACCTGACTTCAATTCTAATATTAAAAAACCCTTTCATCTCACCCTTTTCTTACTCACAATGTAAGGGTACATTTTAATAGCTAAATGCCATTTACTGGTATTTTTCCTTAATTTCACTTTATTTTATTTTTTACCCAGCAATGGTTATCTATAAAAGCACTTTGTAATCTGTAAAGTGCATTTATGCCTAAGGGATTATTATTATTCATTTGAACTTTACCATGCAGAGTAAAAGGCTGAAATTATTCTCAACTCCTTTGTCTAGAAATGTTTTAGGAATAAATTGAAAAAGCACCAGGTTTATGCCCACAGAAAATGCAGTGTTGTAGTGCTGAATCCTAAGTCATGTTCTGAGACCGTGTCACTCCACCTGCATTAAATGATGTCACATAGACTTCCAGGATGAAAGTTACCTTTAGTAGCAGTTTCTAGTGTTTGCATGGGATCTGACCTAAACCTTAAAACAAATGCAATCCTAGGTTTGCCTCCAGCTCTGTAGCAAAAGGGATCACAAATGTCCCTCATTAGTTCCTCCTTGGGGACTGTTTGTCATCCAGACTGTCAACGTGGGTTTTCCCTTGCCCCATGCAAATTGAGAGAACATATAGATGCCCTGAACCCCCCAACTCCCAGCCCACTCTGGAAAGATTCAGAGACACATTCCAGGGGGCACCAGACATGTATCCATGTGTTACATCTCTGCACACCCCCAGGTCTTATAGCCTGGGTCCTTTTCTTGGTGGGAATAAAAGTAGTCCCCAGGCATTCTAAGGGGAGAGGAATTGACCCTGCAAATACCCACCGTGGCATGGTCAAAAGCACTTCCTCTTGGGCCAAATAGACTGAGATCTGAATCCTGACTCTGTCATCAACTGGTGGTGAGACCTTGGGGATATTGCATAGTTGTTTTGAGCCTCAGTTATGGGATAATGACATTAAACGAAACAATGAGGAAAAGTTTAAATATATAGTAAGCACTTTATAGTGTGCTCATTTTACTAATCAGTGTTACAATTATCTGCTAGACATGAAACAAACAGCAAAAATAATACTTATTCTCTTTCCTGATTTTCTTAATGTAGAATTTTAAATTTAGAACCACTGACATATCCTAAAACTGCAGCTGTAAGATCACTGGGGTTCAGAACTGACATTGGAGCTGGTTACCAATGGGAGGTTCTGTTCTCCAGGGAACAAGACGTCGCTGGGCCATATTTATTTGGTGGGTTAGGAGAAATCAGTTTGGGTTACCGAAGGACAAAGACAGCTGCCATGTGAAACTGTTTTGACTATGGTAACATTTAGCAATTATCTAGTGACTCTCTTGATTTCGATACGAGGGTTCCGTGCAGGCACTGTAGGAATGTGGGAAGGGGGCTGATGGGGCAGGATTCTGGAAACATCATCTATATGGAGACCAAATTCATCCATTGTAAAATTGACCATTTTAAAGTATACCATTTGGGGGCTAAGAGTGTAGCTCAGTGACAGAGCACTTGCCTAGCATGTGTGAGGCCCTGGGTTCAATCCTCAGTGCCCTACACACACAAAAAAGTACAACCCAGTGACATTTAGTACATTCATAATGTTCTGTAGCCATCTCTCCACGTGGCTCCAAAATGTTTGACACTCTGAAAGAAAACCCGTCCCATTAAGCACCCCATTCCCCCACCTCACCCTAGCTCCTGAGTCCTGGCAACTACCTATCTGCTATGGATTCCCTGTTCTGGATATTTCATGTAAATAGAATCGTGGACTGTGCAGCCGTTGGTGATTGGCTTCCGTCATTCAGCACAATGCTCTCAAGGGTCACCTGTGGTGCAGCAGGTGCCAGGACTTCAGTCCTCCTCATGGTAGACAGACCTTATCTGTTGAGAGCCACAGCCAAAGGGGCCCCAGCAAACTTCCAGCTGCCGGCTGATGATTGGCTCACAGTGCCCCAGCAACATCTAGCTGATTGGCTCCTCTGAGGTGATGTTCATTGGGCTGTTTCCCTGCCCTTTCAGACCACGGAGCTGCTCATTGGGGGACTTCTTTGGCTCTGCCCACGCAACCCAGCCAATGGGCCTCAAGAGCAGGAGGATTTTGGGAGGTTGTGAGGTTTGTGTGGGGGAGAGGCTTGTGGAAGCCGGTGGTGGCAGTTGGGCTCTGAGTTTTTTTTTGTGGGGCTGTTTTGTTTGGCGTGTGTAGTTCTAAAAATAAAGTTAGTTTCTTTTGACAAGTGGCTCCTGAATTGTGCCCAGCCAGATTGCGGCACATATCTACTAGGCAGACAAACCAAATCTCGGCATCCATTTGTCAGTGTTGGACATTTGGGTGGAATGTCCCTTTTCCGCCAAAGGGTGCTGCAGTGATTATATTTTAGTTCTCTACTTAAGATTTCACTTAAGGGACAGGGTCTTCCCTGCTATAAGAAAGTATTAGAGCCTCTGATTTATTCCTCCATTTTCCTGAAAGAAGTGCAGATCTTAGGTACCATCATGCCAGTTAGCTCCCTGGTTTGAAAAATCTCTTGGAAGCGGTCCTAAGGGAGAATCAGCCATGCTGAGGTGAAGGCTCTCATCTCCTACCACTGTGCTGTGGATGTGGCCAAGTTGCTTCATTCTAAGATCTTGTCTGTAAAATGGGAATATGGACTGTCATGGCCTTGGCATAAATGACGCACATCAGGGACTCATGACATCTGAGAGCCTTAGACAAGTGCTGGCTCTTGGAGTTCCCAAGTGGTCTATCCAGCTTTTCTTTAAGATCATGCTGATGGAGACAGGTAACTCACAGCTCCCGGGGCAGCCTATTTGAGATGTGAACACAGTGGCTCTGGCCCCCCTGAACCATGTGTAAGGAAGGTCACTAACTTGCCTCAAGTCGCAAAGCGTCTCACTGGCAGAGTAGGAGCTGGATCTGGACTCCACGCTTCTCCCCAGTGTTCACTCCGCCTGCCACGGGCTGCCCTGGCCTCAGTTCCTCCTGCACATTCAAAGCTTTGCTTTGAGGAGAAGGGGGAAAATATGGAAAATCAACAGATATTTGGATAGCCTGAGTCTGACTTTTCTTTAAAAACCAGCAAAAGCAGAGGTGAATAAATTGCATTTCCCAACTGTTTTTTTTAAGACAAGGTAATTATTCCATCAATTGTTTAAATTTTGGAAGGTCAGTTTACCCCTGGGGAGTCATTTTTCTGGTACTGTGCTCCTTTTCCT